GCCCTATAAATAGTTTTGAGGCTATAAACCCCCACACGTCACAAATATTCAATTCATATTGATCCCCAAGTGCCATTCCCATGTTAAATTCCAGTTGTCTCTATATTTATTTTCACCTAATTTCATTCAAGTCCCATTATCACCATACACCCCCACCCCATTATCGCCATACACCCCCACCCCATTATCGCCATACACTCCCACTCCATGCTACTGGCCTGGCTTACAATATAGAACAGAACAAAATTATTTAATAGTGTGTGTGTGTCTGTGTGTGATTTATATTTTTAACTTAGCTTTAACAATTTTTCAGTCATGTCACAACGATGTCTGCAGTGTGACAGTTTATAGTGAGTTCTGTCACTGGGGCATCAAGACGCAGACATGTCGCATCATGTCCCACCCATTCACATTATCCTGACACCAGGCAGACCCATCCCGACACTAACCTCTTAATGCTGAGCGCCAATCGAGGCAGCTGCTAGTACCATTTTTGTAAGTCTTTGATATGATTCGACATCCTTATCCTGGTGAATTCAGAATGTATTTTACCACTAAACTTCAGACATCTAAAGTCTCGTATTTGTTGCGAACAAGTTCAAGTCCCGTATTGTCCTGATTCCATCTTTGCCGTCCATACGTCTGTCCGTTTACAATTATTTCAACGAGAAGAATTCAGTAAATTTTTAACATGGACTCTTAGGTAAGTTAACTGCAACTGCTTTGATTAGATCACTCAACTTCCACCGCGGCGAACATACACGTTCAAGATGTTCAACTCCTATCGTGTTAAAAATACGGGTTAAAATGCACAAGTTTGCTAGTGTTGGCAACAAAGCAAGCACCTCACCACGCTAATCTGGATTATCTAATTTAATCTAAATGGCCTAATTACATAGAGGAGTTGGCATTTATGTGTGGTTACCTTACTGACTTTCTAGAGAGATAAATTACTCAGTGAATTGGAAATCTGATTGAACAACCTAAAACCTTCAACACTGGCTTTAGAAAAGTATTTATAACAATTTCTAAAAAGAAATCCTCCCCTTTTCCCTATTAATAATAGAAACTTCGTATCGTCTACATTTTGGGGACTTCATAAATAGCTCAAATCATGAGCAAATTAAAATTGAGATACATGAGTGTTAATGTAATACATGTCGAATGTCATTTGAAATCTTCATATAAACTCTGCACTTTCAGGAGATAAATATATTAAAAACGTAACCCTAACCCGTGTCTTATTTATGACCTTTTGCAAACTACGCAATTTTACTTAGATATTTTTGAGCAAATAAAACCAAACGGTAGAATTACTAATATTTGAAACCGATCAGATTTCTTTTTAGAAAAACGAAAATATTATAAGTGAAAGAATATTTAATGTGTGCTTGCACCGAACGACAAGGCTGCACTTTCTTTTCCATGCACAGTGTTATACAATACTCATCATGGTGATATTTGGTGTATCAGTTTTGCGAGATAACCGCAGATTTTCTCGCTATCTGATAGTAAGCATTTATTACAAATAACGTTCTGTTTAGACATATGGCTGTCGGCTCTCTTTTCATCTTTAAATAAGACATAACTTTTCAGTGTGAATGAGTTCAGTATATCATTACACCAGTCCATACATAATTAAACATACGGGCATTACGGACAAGGATCGCTTGCATAGTAAGTGGTTACTGGAATCTGCTCTAATATAATTTTGACCTCTTTCTAACCTTCAAGCATCGGAAATTTAGCATATCATTTTTTCTGTGAGAACAAAAACAATACCAGGCTCGTAAAAAGCAGTCAGTAGATGGCGATAATCCAATAATCTGATTACATATCGTCACTTGCACTAGCTATTTCAGTGTGGCATGAAATTAGTATTATTACTAAAGCCAAAAATGCACAGCTTTTAGCCTACTGTCTGATTTAAGCTACAAAATGTAAATTAAGGACAAATTAATTTATTGTGGATAAAATTAGTAAGAAAAGATAATAAATACAAAAAATACCATCTCGTTGGACCGTTTAAATAGATTTTGGCCATCAGGTGCTCTATATATCTCATTTTAAAAAAATCAAACTGTAATACCATTCCAGTGGTTTGTTTTAGGGTAAACTAAAATGACATTCAGGATACCTAAGAGAACACTTGTGCATTTGGAAACCACGTGCAGAAGGGAAAATAATGTAATCCCCTCCTCTACGGCCACTGGTGTCGATTAGGCAGATGCAGTATACTCCTATCTAATCTAGTTATGCGTGTTGTTGTTTTTGTTGTTGTTGTTGTTGTTGTTATTGGGTTTAAGACTATTTTGTAGCACAAGATAGGCTATACATGGCGGCCAGTATTAATGGTGAAGGAAGAACCCTGAATAAACCCGGGAAGAACAACCGACCCAAGAAGAGCTACTGGCAGGCTTTCTCACTTACCCACTTTAACCGAGTCTGGACTATTACTATGCAAAAATCCTCTAGAAATTTATTTTTGACTTTCACTAAAAGAAGTCTAAATGATACAATTCTACTACTACCACTACTGCTGCTACTACTACTACTACTACTACTACTACTACTACTACTACTACTACTACTACTACAAATAATGATGATTATAGCAAGAACAAGGACATTAACAGCAACAATAACAACAACAATAATAACAACAACAATAATAATAATAATAATAATAATAATAATAATAATAATAATAATAATAATAATAATAATAATCGTCAATTTATTATTTTCACAGTTTTAGGAAAGTGTGTAAGGAATTGACATTAAGACGAGGGTCATAACTACCGTTTATTAATTCCTAATCTTCAAACTCTATCCTAATTAGTAGAATTTTTACACTCTTATTGATGGAGACCACCTTTCGGTTTTAAGGCATTGACGAAGCAATACTTTGCGATGATTGCACGATATGTCTGCATAGCAGACACGTAACAATTTAGGCACTGTATTTAGTTCAACATTAATGGAACCTATATTACCAGCTCAACCAAGAGATTTAAGTTTGTAAACGTCATTTCCGTTATTTTGCACTTGGGTCGGTCAGTAATACTAGTGTGTCGTTAAACCTTACTTTTTCCTTAGGGTCTATTTTATTCTCAGAGTCAGGAAAATGCGTGACAGAAATTAATCGTCTGGTTTTTTTTCTTCACCATCTATTCGTAGTTATTGATCATCATGTATGCCATCTGTGTCGTCGAGTCCACTTGTAAAACATCGGAGACTTCTCAGTGCAAACACCACTGTAGGGAAAACAACATGTCTTCGTTTTATTTTCTTATGCTAATGATTTATTTGAAAACGAACCATTCGTGGCGTTATTGATTTGACACTCCAAGATAAATCGTTACTGATTGTCGAGAATTCTACAAAAATGAAGATACCTGAAGGGCTAGATTGAAGTTAGTAAATGTAAATCAGTCTACAGACATATCTTATTTTCCCCGCTGAAATCCCACATCGCTCACATTATCGACTGAGAATCCTGACTGCATTTTGTTTTGTCTTGTATAATTGATAGTTGCAGCAGACGCCTCAAGAAAGGCGAAGATTCTTAAGGCTTTGTCAGCGCTGTGGAGTAGATACAGTCGAATTTGGTTGGGGGGTACCTTTATAATATCTTTTGGGGAATTAAGTGAATATAATAAAGATACAGATGAAAAGGTTGTTATTCGATTTAGAAACTGAGAAACATCGATATAGGAAACAAGTCAATCAGGATATTTTAGTTATTCTTTAGATTTGGCATACATAAACTGGTTAAAATTTATAACCGAAGGTAAAGAGCAGAAATGCAATATTCTTTTATTATTTTTCATGACAACTTTTTTTCATTAACCCAAAAATGTCGGATATACGACTTTCCACAAAAATTACCATGAACTTCAATCGAAACATTTGAAACAAAGAATAGTAATTATATCATTTTATATTTAATTTACATACATATACATACATGGATACATACATAGATAGATACATACATAGATAGATACATACATAGATGCATACATACATACATACATACATACATACATACATACATACATACATACATACATACATACATGCATGCATGCATGCATGCATGCATGCATGCATGCATGCATACATACATACATACATACATACATACATACATACATACATACATACATACATACATACATACATGCATGCATGCATGCATGCATGCATGCATGCATGCATACATACATACTTACACATACATACATACACATACATATACATAGATACATACATTCATACATACATACATACATACATACATACATACATACATACATACATACATACATACATACGTACGTACGTACGTGCGTGCGTGCGTGCGTGCGTGCATGCATGCATGCATGCATGCATGCATACATACATACATACATACATACATACATACATACATACATACATACATACATACATACATACATACATACATACATACATGCATGCATGCATGCATGCATGCATGCATGCATGTATACATACATACTTACACATACATACATACACATACATATACATAGATACATATATTCATACATACATACATACATACATACATACATACATACATACATACATACATACATACATACATACATACGTACGTACGTACGTACGTACGTACGTACGTACGTACGTACGTACGTACGTGCGTGCGTGCGTGCGTGCTTGCATGCATGCATGCATGCATGCATGCATACATACATACATACATACATACATACATACATACATACATACATACATACATACATACATGCATGCATGCATGCATGCATGCATGCAGACAGACAGACAGACAAGATTCAGATGTTATCCAGAGCAGATAAACATAGGCGCAATCAGCGTCTTAATTCAAATTAGCAGCTTAAAACGAAGAGATAAAAGCGAAGCCCTTTCACAGAGAAATTTCAAAATAAGCTTGACATCATACAAAGTTCTACATTTCTGAATATTCAGAAGTAGCTCAGCTGGTAGAGCGTCGGGTTCATAATCCAAGGAGAGGGTTTGATACCCACCAAAAGCAGTTTGGGTCAATAGCCCAAGTGTGATTTTGGGAAAGGTAATTGGTACCCATTTCCCTTGTACGGTCCAACCAATAATGTCTTTAAAATGCCGTAAAAACCAATAAAATATAAAACCCAACAAATAACAACAACAATAACAATAAAAACAGTAACAACAGCAACAACAATACTAACAACAATACTACTGTTACTATTGCTGCTACTACTACAATTACTACTACTGCTACTACTACTACTACTACTGTTGTTATTGTTACTACTACTATTAATAATATGAACAACAAAAACAACAACAATAATAATAATAATAATAATAATAATAATAATAATAATAATAATAATAATAATAATAATAATAATAATAATATTAATGACTACGACGACTGTGGAACTGTCACATTAAACTAGCTGTAAAATCTTATATTCTGTTTCTGTTTAAATTTTATATTTGTATTACTTTACGTCTCTTAATAAATCGCAAATACTTTTCTTCCTTAAATTGTACACAGGGATATTGATAAATCCCATTCGTAACTCTCTGAGAGGACCAATAAATTTATAGTCTTATTTACATGTACAGGAGACATCTTGAGTGCGAATCTCAAGTTTCAATACTAAACTTAAAAATGACACATCGGCTCTGATGCTAATGGCTGTGTAGAAGTAACACTAGCTACGTCGGGAGCGGAAATATTTGTTCAATAGTTGTATCCGGGCAAGGAAATAATAAAGAGTAAGTCATGACAGACAAGGTGTAAAATTATCACCCCCAGGGTCGCTCAAATCATATTTAATAGCAATATTTAGACAAATAATTGACCTCCTCTTTCGAAGTTACACTGTAAATCAATTTATACGGAGATAGAGGCAAGGGATCTCTTGCACTTTGCCTTCTCATGTGAAAAACCGGAATAATTTTGTGCTAAAATCCATCAAATGCGAGGAACAGGGTGTGTAATTATGTTGTTCATTGGAGTAATGATAGATGCTTGTTTTTATCCTATAGTATTAGACACTTTTTATTTTCCCCTTGGAGATGCAACAATTGCATATCAAGGTCCACCAAATCATAACCTAGGTGTTCTATCATCACGCGAGAGTATCGTTTATTATACATATTATAATGGAATCTTGAACTGTATAAGTGAGATAAAAAAAAATAAAACGTCACTGTTACGATATCGCTTTTATCGCCACATTGGAAATATCCCTTTCAGAACTACTTAACTTTTACGTTTTGGAAATATATCTGCTCTTAATTTTTCTATCCAAACCGGTATTGTGTTTCCATATTTAGGCTTATCTTCTTCTTCTTCTTCTTCTTCTTCTTCTTCTCTCTCTCTCTCTCTCTCTCTCTCTCTCTCTCTCTCTCTCTCTCTCTCTCTCTCTCTCTCTCTCTCTCTCTCTCTCTCTCTCTCTCTCTCTCTCTCTCTCTCTCTCTCTCTCTCTCAGAGACTCTGGACCTTCTGGGATATATTAATGTATTCAATGACATAGAGCCAGCAAACGATGCAATAGAACGAATTCCTAAAAAGAAAATGTTGGCTTAAAGGATTAACTTTTATAATTTCTGTAGCTTTTTCTCTTGATAGAACTTATATGACCAGTTTATACTTGATATGCAGCGTCACTCATAGACTTTTATATTTCTAATGCAGATTATAACGGATAAAAAAATAAATATATATTTAATTGATTATATATAATGTAAACTTTCCTTGCCACCCCAACCCCACACACACAAAATAAATAAATAAAACGACATTAAATCCTCCATGGATATTTCTGATTTCACAGTATCTGTTGGAACTCTCCCAAACTCTCACAAGGCGTGATTGATTTTATAGTAGACAGTCATAAAACAAATATTGAAGCAGTAAGTGGGCTTTTTTTAATCGAGAATTGAAATAATCGAAAGCATTGTCCTAGTACATTTGATTAACCATATACATTATTGTGTCAAGTTCCTATCATGTACTGAAATTTTAATACAATCCCAAATGTTCACTACCGAGAAGAAATGTCTATAAAGTTGTGTCCACTTCACATGTAGTCCACATTCGCAAATTTACAGCCTCAAAGACTGGCGAACAGGAAAGATGACTAGCGGATAAAACTGACCAATAAATGGAAACGTGGACATATTTGCTTCTTTCGAGGATATCAGTAGCTGTATGCTATCAAAGTTAATTAAGTTATTTGCCAATTAAAAAGAGTAGAAATTTGGGTGAGAATAGGTCATTTGTGTCATACCAAAGACTTAATAATATGGTACTAGCAGCTCCTCATGTCTCACCCAGCCACATTATCATGACATCAGACCAGTCCTAACACTAATCTTTTAATGCCGAGAGCCAAGTTATGCAGCTGTTTGCACCATTTTTTAGATTCTTTGGTATGTCTCGGCTAGGGTTCGAACCCGCGATCGATCGATTGATCGAGAGAGAGAGAGAGAGAGAGAGAGAGAGAGAGAGAGAGAGAGAGAGAGAGAGAGAGAGAGAATTGAATTTGTTTCACGGGTTTGACGAGTTTGATGTGGCAAGGTTGGTAAAAATGATTAAATGTACATGGAAATCATGTATAAATTAACATCGCTACTCAACATGTGCCTGAATGTGTGAAATTATAAATATGTAAATTTATCCCTTTGTAATGTGTGTGCGATTTTGGATTTTTAACGTTGCTTTAACACTTTTTCAGTCGTATCGCTACGTTGTCTGCAGTTTGGCAATTTATAGTGTTATCTAGCACTGGGGCATCGTGCCGTAAACATGTGACATCATGTCCCAACCAGCCACATTATCCTTACACCAGACCGAACAGTCTTAACACTAACATCTTAATAGTGATCGGCTTGCGAGGCAGCTATTAGTACCATTTTTATTTGTCTTTCGTATGACTCGACCAAAGATCGAATCTGTAAACTCTTGCATCTGAGGCAGACGCTTTAACTACTATGCTGTACCTTTTAGGTACATTGTTTTATATTTAAAAAAATTCAAAATGAGAAATTGTGTCCTGTCATTTACAGATCTAGTTAGTAGTCAGGTCAATATTGAGATTAATAAGTCAAAGTGTCTGAATCAGTTGACATCTTACGTTATTATTAAAAGTGGAGTGGTACGCTATATTACGGATTATGGTGCAACGAACCCGTTCGTCCTTGAAGTCAGATGATGACAGTGACTTTGCAAACGGTTTTTGGAAATTTACGGTATATTCAAATGGAATTGATCTTTCAAACTACTTCTCACTGACCAAAATAAAATAAATGTGATTAAATTTTTAATCCTGTATGATCGATCTTGTCATAAATACATTGACTATTTACATGGCATATTGAGAACCATCCTTGCTGATTAGAGTCCATGCATGGCCCGAATAAATACGTTTAACATGTAGGAATAGCGGGCTTATGAAAGGTGGCGGCTTATGAAAGGTGGCAATCCCTTAAATCAGTTATCTTGTCATATGTACAGTTTTGTTATGCTAATGGCGATAATAAATTCAATAAGAACAACTTTCCGAATATGGCAAAGCAAATGAGTAGTAACATTCCTACGTAACATACATAAACTAAACATGCACTAATTAATTATATCCTTGCTTTAGTATCCGGTAACCCTTGCAGAGTGACACCGTTTAATGATCTTTATGTATGGATTTTATAACAACACCGTAGTTTATGCCGACTTAAGAATGTGGTCATCAAATTTTTCAAACGAAAGGTGCGAAGACAATAAGACAATTGCTATCTTTGACACTGCTCATGAAGGCAAAAATTCCGATCCACTAGACAGAATAAATTGTAACTGATGATCTATCATATCAGTTCTAATAAACATACTAAAGACCCTTTCAGAGTCCATGTATTCCTAAATTGATGATTTCTAAGGGCGGGACAGATCCCAGATGTGTTTTTAATTCCGCTTTTACGCATTCAAGAACAAGTAATTTTGGAACTTAAATGTAACTTTCGATGTGGGCATAAAAGACGACGGGTCTGACTCGTAAATATTGAACCCTAATTGTTGACAATGGTTATTAAGTGCATATATGCTGCATTTTATGACCTGGCAGGACAAAAGGAATTTATGCTGAAAAGAAATCATTGATTTCCTAATGTGGAACGGAACATAAAAGGAACTATATTTTCTCTCTTTAAAACCATTGTGACACCGAAGGAGTGTCAATCTTGTCTGTAATACGACTAAATTATCTATTTCAATTATGGTTGCCATAGCAAAGTTTAATTTTTATTTCGAGTTCGTGTAACTGGTACACTAAGTTCACATCAGTCATGCGACCGTTTATCTCAACGAAAGTTCTGAATGCACCATAATAGCCAACTGGCTTCGTACAATGACCAACATGAAGTTTTCGGATACACCTATTTCAACTCTTCCAGATCGTTATTGTTTCTCTTTTCAGTCATTAAGCGGTACTAATATATTTTGATGTCAAAGATATTATACATTCGATAGTAATGATCGTACCTGAAGATTAACTGTACCACATAAATAAATATGGACCTAAAAGAATAATTTTAGAAATGAAAAAACTGAGATATCTATGAAAGTATTTAGTATTTGGTGTCATCCATTCTTATTTATTAGTTCATATATATATATATATATATATATATATATATATATATATATATATATATATATATATATATATATATATATATATATATATATATATATATATATATAAAGAGAGAGAGAGAGAGAGAGAGAGAGAGAGAGAGAGAGATATCAGCAGTCTAGAAATCCTGTAAAATTAACTAGTTTTTCATTATTTGCTAAATATAGCTTGTACTCAGCTCCATATTGCCAGGACTGTACTGATTACACTCTGTACATACCTACACGTAAAACTCCAAAACCGTAGTAGTAAATAAAATACGGTACGTTTTTCTATTCGTCATTAGTGTTTTTGCTCGAAAATTTTATACTTATCGCTTTTCTCAAGGAATTCATGGGTGCAAAAATCT